CATATATACATATATATATATATTTGAGACAATTTTTTACTATGTTAACTAGGCAATTCTCCTGCCTCATTCACTTAGGTAGCTGTGAATATAGGTACATATCACCATGCCTATTTAAGAAGACAATTCTAAGAATAAGTAATTCATTTTAAACTGTGTGATATTCTGAACAGTATGATGAACTCTTAGGCTGGATGTGTGCATCCCTCTGTCCAGCAGATTGAACTGTATACATTAGCTGACCATTTATCTCTTAGTGGCTTTCTTGGTTGTCAGATGGCTGCTGTGGACAGTATAGCAGGAACCCTTTCTTCTTCTTTTTTTTTTTTTTAAAGTCTTTTTGAGACAGCGTCTCCCTGTAGCCCAGCTGGTCTGGAACTTACTATGTATACCAGGCTGGCCTTGATCTCACAGAGATCCACCTGCTTCTGCCTCCCTCTCCCTCCTGAGTGCTGGGATTAAAGGCAAGTGCCACCACGCCCAGCTCCCTTTCTTTTTGAGGCAGGGTCTCCCTGTAGCCCCAGGTGTCCTGGAACTCACTATGTAGACCAGGCTGGCCGTAAACTCACAGAGATCCGCCTGTCCCTGCCTCCCGAGTGCTGGGACCAAAGGTGTGCACCACCACACCCAGCCCCAGCTCCCCTTCTTATTTCAATGTCCCCCAAAGGCAATTTGGAATGCCAAAGAGAAGCTATAAAGTGTTTCCTTTAGGTGAAAAGATGAAAGTGCTTGACATAAGAAAAAAAAAAATTACTTGCTGAGGGTGCTGAGATCTATGGCAATTAGTTCTGGCCTAATTTACAAGTTAAACTTCATCACAAATGTGTATGTATAGAGAAAAATAGTATATGCAAGGGTTGGCACTATCTGCAGTTTCAAACAGAGGCCTTGAAAATAATGGGGGACAACTGTACTTAGCTCACAGACTTACTACTTTTTCACAATAAATCTGTATGAAGCCTGCCAGGTCATAGGGCATGAACTCCAAACATTTAAGAAAAAATAAAGTGGGCTGCTGAATTGGTTGGGCAGGCAAAGGTGCTTGCACACCATGGCATGTGCTCAGCTCCCCCTCCCCTTGCTCTCCCTCAGAGGCACACAAAATACATAAAAAAATGTTAATTTAAAAAAGAAAGGTAATGTAGCAAAAGAAATTAACAACAACTACCAAAAATTTTCCTGAGCCTGAACATAGACTCTAAATTGAAAGGGCCCAGCAGAGAGTTTTTGTTTTTCTTAAAACGTACACTGTGATTTTAATACCTACATATACTTACGAAATATTAGGAACTTATGGTAAAAAAGAAGATCCCAAGGGTCCTTGAGGAAAGTCAGGTAATGCACCACAGCTTAGAATCAGGTGCCTTTGGACTTTGCAACGTTGACATTTGAAGCTGGTACATATTTTTGAGAGACAGTATTTTTCTGGTCTAGAATACTAATGACAGCTAAATCACCAGCCTGTTAGAAAGTAAGATAAGGATGTGTTCACATGTAAAGGTAACACATTTATTTCAGTGTACCCTTTAAACAAAAGGAGTTATAAGGAGAATTCCCAATATGGTGGTGGAAAGAATTTGTGTGGCCACAAATTTAGGGACCTAGAGAGCAATCCAAGTTGGTGCAAAGGAGTGAACCCTCTGGAAGGAATAGTCCCCCAAATTAAAGAACAGATAGAAATGATAATACATCTGGTGAAGAGTTTGGAAAGGATTTAGTGCTAGATACTCTGAATTTTTTTTTAAGTTATATGTACAAAGAGCCATATATATTCATTAGGACATAGGACTCTGCTATGAATGATACTTACATAATCTTAATGACAAACAATAAATTATTTAATTAAAATTTTGATTGTATGTTGGGGGATTTGCACTTGAGAAAGAGGGACAGGAAGTGAGAGCTAAATGCTCATCTATATTAGAGTCAAAAATAATGCCTGGGCCAGGAAGATGGCTCAGCAGGTAAAGGCTCTTGCTGCACAACCTTGGGACTGGGTTTGATCCCTAGAACTCATTTAAAGTGGAAGGAGAGAACTGACTCACAGAGTTGTCTTCTGATCTCCACACAAGTACTGTGGCATGAGCACCCAACATGAACATACATATACAGTAGTAACAAATAAATAGTAATAAAGAACAGTAATGACTAAAATTGAAAATCAAGAACACCACTAAGCACAGTTTTTCATACTATCTGGCTTGTTAAATGTAGCATATATTATTTTTTTTCTTTAAAAAATTTTATTTATTGCCGGGCATGGTGGCATACACCTTTAATTCCCAAATCCCAACACTTAAAAGGCAGAGGCAGGCGGATCTCTGTGAGTTTGAGGCCAGCCTGGTCTACACAGCGAGTGCCAGGCCAGCTGGGACTAGAGGGAAACCCTGTCACAAAAAGACCGAAAAAAAAATAAAAAAAATTTATTATATGTTGGGGAGAGGGTCTACATTCAGCCAGTGTACATGTAGCAGTCAGAGGACAACTTGTGGGAGTTAGTTCTTTTATTCCACCATGTGGGTCCCAGGGATCAAACTCAGGTTGTCTGGCATGGTGGCAGGTGCCTTATCCACCGAGACATCCCACCAGCCCCTCATTTTACTTCTTTTTTTTGGCACTTTCTAGTTCCATCCTTCATTTTTTTAATCCTTTCTCTCTTAATTTCCATCTCATTTTCTTTAATGGAAGAATTTCCTGAATTTAGTCTTTTAAACCTTTGACTATTTAAATATTTAAAGTCATATATTTTCTTTTTTTAAAGTATTTTATTATTTTTATGTGTATGAGTGTATTGCCTACATGTATGTAAGTATACCTGTGTCGTGTCATGCAAGCCTGTAGAGGTCAGAAGGCATTGGATCCCTGGAACTGGAGTTACAGATGGTTGTTAGCTGCCATGTGGGTGCTAGAAATCAAACCTGGGTTCTCTGCAAGAACAGCCAATGCTCTTAACTGCTGAGCAGCTATCTCTCCAGCCACTAAAGTCATTTCTTTTTTCTTTATTTTACTTTTATTATTTTTATTTTATGTGTATGAATGTATTGCCTGCATGTATGTGAGTGCACCCATGTTGTGCAGTGCCGTGAAGTCAGAAGAGGGCTTCAGATTCCCCTGGAACTGGAGTTAAGGAGTGTTCGTAGCCGCCATGTGGGTGCTGGGAATCAAACCCAGGTCCTCTGCAAGACCAGTCAGTGCTCCTAGCCCTGAACCATCTCTCCAGCCCCTAAAGTCATATTTTCAATACCCAAAAGTTCTTTCTTATCCTTTGAATAATCTATTTTAGTGTTTTTTTTTTGTTCTTAGTTTGTGACTGCTTTATCTTCTCTGATTATCCTGATGCGAAAGAAGTTTCAAAAGTTTTAATTTGCTGGGAGTGGTGGTACATGCTTTATTAACGACAGCATTTGGGAGGCAAAGGCAGGTGAGTCTCTGTGAGACTGAGGCCATTCTTGTCTATATAATGACTTCCAGGCCAGCTGGAGCTATACGGAGACCTTGTCTCAAAAAAAAAAAAGTTTTCATCTACTTTTTTGTGTTTCACATTAGAATGTTTTCTTTAATGCCTACTCACTAGGTGTCATATCACACTTATTAAATTTAGTGAATCAGTGAATGAAAATGATCTCCCTCTCTTCTTCCCTCCCTCCCACCCTGTCCTTTGCTTTTTGAGACAGGGTGACACTATGTAGCCCAGGCTGGCCTGGAACTTATGATCCTATTGTTTCTACCTCTTAAGTGGGATTACAGTCATTCCACCCCATGGCTAGCTTTACATATATGTATTTTTAATGCTGTCTTACAGTGTGGATCTAATACTTATAGCAGCACACTTAAATACAGTACATACATGAACATATGTAATATATAATATGTATATATACATATGGTTACATGGCTAACTTCTCCTCATATAGACCTTTTTTGGTACTAGGGATTGAACTTCATGCACTCTACCACTGAGTTATATTCCCAGCCCTTTCTAGAAACCCAGTTGTTACCAACTCATACTTTTCTGGCATGTCAGTAATGGGCATCATCATTCTTTTTGAAGTTTCTCTGGTGATTTGTTTCACCTTCAGATGTGGAAGATACAGTCCCCAGGGTCCATTAAAAAAAAATTTTTTTTTTTTAAAACAGTGTCTCTTGTATTCCTGGAACACATTTTGTAGCCGAGGGACTTGACTTGTAATTCTCCTACCTCCACCTCCAGAGTGCAGGGATTATAGGTATGTGCCACTGTACCTGGTTTATGTGGTGCTGGTGAATGAACCCAGGGTTTCTTGCAGGTTAGGCAAGCACTATCAGCTGGAACTATAGACATCTCCAGCCCCAGATCCAAAGTGTTAAATTTCAGTTAGGCTGATGCCCTAAATGAACAGTCCTTGATTCCTACATTTTTGGGAAAGGGGAGAGCAGGCCTTCATGTTCTTACCTGATGTCAGGAAGGACAGAGTACCAATTGTTTCATTGGACATGATGTTATGGAAACGTGCCAGCTGCCCAAACATCTGTAGGCCAGCCTCTTTTTCTCGGCGGGCTTCTGGAGTCAGACTATCCCATTCGCCTCTATCCTTCTCAATCTGCTGAATCTTTATCTTGCTCAAATACTACAGAAACCAGAGATGGGATATATCAGAGAAGAAAAAGGCAGATGAAGGATCATGACATATAAGAGGCCTTAATTAAAATCCAATCAATTAGGTTGGGAAAACCAGAGACCATATAAGGGACATAAACCTTTGTGCAGGGTTAGAGCTTAAAGAACTTCTGGAGGGCTGGTGAGGTGGCTCAGTGGGGTAAGGCACTTGCTGTCAAGCCTAATGAGCTGAGTTCAATCTCTAGAACCCATATGGTAGAAGGAGACTCCCACAGGTTGTCCCGACCTCTACATATGCACAATGGCAAATGTGCACACAGAGACAGACACACATAATAACTGTACATTATAAACAATAATAAAAAAACTTGTAAATAAGAAATTGTATCCTCATACAAATTTATTTTTGGTCTTTTTGAGACAGGGTCTCCCTGTAGCCCCAAGCTGTCCTCGATTCACTCTGGAGACCAGGCTGGCTTTGAACTCACAGAGATCTGCTTGCCTCTGCCTCCCGAGTGCTGGGACTAAAGGCATGGACCACCACACCCAGCCAGATTTATTTATTTATTTTGGTCTTTTTGAGACAGGGTCTCCCTGTAGCCCAAGCTGTCCGGAACCTCACTATGAAGACCAGGATGGTTTGAAACACACAGACCCGCCTGCCTCTGCCTCCCAAGTGCTGGGACTACAGGTGTGCACCACCACGCCCAGCTCAGATTTATTTATTTATTTTTAAATATTTTATTTATTATTATTTTTTCTTTTTGGTCTTTTTGAGACAGGGTTTCCCTGTACCCCAGCTGGCCTCGATTCCCTATGGAGACCAGGCTGGCCTCGAACTCACAGAGATCTGCCTGCCTCTGCCTCCTGAGTGCTGGGATCAAAGGCATGCACCACCACGCCCGGCCATTTATTATTTTTATTTTATGTGTATACGTGTATTGCCTGAATGTAGGTAAGTGCACCCATGTGGTGTAATGCCTACGGAGGACAGAAGAGGCTTCTGGATCCCCTGGAACTGGAGTTATAGACAGTCGTTAGCTGCCATGTGGGTGCTGGGATTTGAACCTGGGTCTTCTGCAAAAAGAGCCAGTGCTCTTAATTGCTGAGTCATCTCTCCAGCCCCCCCACAGATTTATTTTCGCCTGGGTAAACTGATAATCCCTCAGAACTAGTATACTATTAGGAGATAGAAAGGAGGCTAAAATAGAGTAGTATATGAAACATAGGTCTAAAAACCAGACCACAGAAAGGAATCCTTCCTAAAAGATAAAAAAAAAATACAAAAAGTTCAAAACTTGCTTACTCAAAACCAAAATTATATGAATATGCATGCTGTCTGGAAGGACATGGTAATTACTTCAAACCCTTTACCTCTCATCCTTACTGTTGTGGCAAACAATGAGTTAAACAGTCTCCAGAGAATGCCATCTGCTTCACTCTGAATCACACTGTTCTTGCTTAACAAGGTCTGTTTATAATAGGAACGGCTCTCAGTTCCTTAGGAAACCTATTTTAAATCTCAGAGTGTAACATCATGAAAAGAGCAGGAGACCAGACCCACAAGTTACTCAGTGGGTTGTCAGTGAGAATGGGTGACTGTCCAGTTGGCCCTGCTTGGGATTGACCTGCATCTCCTTCAGTCACAGCCTAGCTTATAACTCGTGCTCCTGCCCCAATTATGAGATTCTGCCTAGCCTCAAGCCTGAAGTGTAGCTAGCCTTGGATTGAAATCTGAAACTGTGAGTTCAAATAAATCTTTCATTTCAGGGTGTTTTTCTTGGGTATTTGGTTATTGTGATGGTTTGAATGAAAATGTCCCCCATAAGCTCCAAGTATTTGGACACTCTGTCCCCAGATGGTGGCACTGTTTTGGGAGGTTTTTAGAAGGTGTGGCTACTGTGGAGGAAGCATGTCACTGGGGATGGGCTTAGAGAGTTCTTAAGCCTTGCAGGATCTCCAGTTGCTCTCTTGCTTCCTGTGCCTGCGTGATGATGTGAGAGCTTAGCTTCTGCTGCTCCTGCTCCAGCCACCTCTAGCCACCATACCTCCCTGCCATGATGGACTGTAATTCCCCTGGAACCATACACTCAAATAAACTCTTCCTCCTATAAATTGCTTGGGTCAGTATTTCTATCACAGCAATAGAAAAGTGACTAATACAGTCATGCAATGAATCATCCTGGTGGTCACTGACCAGAGCTAAGATCCCATAGTTCTTTCTGCTGGTCTGCTGGTACATGGTAGTTTGGTTTTATTACAGTCCCTTTAACTCTACTGAAGAACCATCCAAGATCAAGAGCCATCTTGATCTTGTCTCTAATGGAATAATAACCTAGAAAACTCTGTAATGGTTAGTTTGGAGGTGCACTACTGCTCATATGCTTTTGGTTTAAGACCACTGGAGTACAGAACTGCTCTATTATAATTAATTAAAAGGCCAAAAGAATATGTTCTTCGCCAGGTGTAGTGGTTCATGGCTGTAATCTCAGCACTCTGGGAGGCTAAGGCAGATGGACTGCTCTGAGTTTGAGGCTAGCCTGGGCTATAGAGGGATGAGACCTTGTCTCAAAAAACAAAACAAAACAAAAAACAAAGTAAAACCCCAACCAACCAACCAACCAAACAACAAAACCAAAGCCCAAACCCAAAAATGATGGTATAAGGAAGTGTTACTTTTTTTTTTTTCTTTTTTACCTGTATAGCTTCATCCAAAAGAAAGATCGCATCATTCATTAGCAGGTTAAGAAAACGGAGGAAAAGTGGGGGATTCATGGCTTCTAAATTCTTAGAGGCATAGTCAGCCAAATCCTGTGAATTCCAGCCCAAGAAGAAATACTTTAGTATTGAATCACAACTCGCCAAGGCTGACCTGAAGCAACTGGTTTCATTAAAAATTCTTACCTTAATGCTCTCCCGATAGGTATCTGTCCCCCACATGTATCTTAGGATGGGATACATGGGGCGGCGGTAATTAAACTTCTGTTCAAATTGATGGGGGTCTCCTAGAGTAAGGTGAGAACAAGAACTCAACAAAGGAGGTCTGTTAGAGAATGGGCAGGGGCTTATGTCTAGAGGCGCTTTTATATTCTGAATGTCAGGGTTATTCAGTCTTCCCTAGGAGTTCCCTCCCTCCTTTTTTTCTTTCCCCCTTTTCTTTGTCCTGCTGGGGATAAAATCTAGGCCTTAACTATGATTATCTGTACAAGATCAAGTCAACAAGATCAGTAAACATCACAACTGGCAGCACTAACTAGACTCAGTGGGTTATTAACAAAAAAGGGTAAGCTGGGTGTGGTGGCTAACGGCTTTAATCCCAGCACTTGGGAGGCAGAGGCAGGCTGATCTCTGTTGAGTTCAAGGGCAGCCTGGTCTACATAGTGAATTCTAGGCCAATCTGGGCTACAAAGAGATATCCTGTTTAAAAAAAAAAGGTAAGGGACAGGAAGTGGGAAGGGAGATGTGTTGGGTGGGCACTCCTAGGGGGAAAGGAAAGGTTAAAATGGGGGTACATATGATTAAGAAGCATTGCTTATATGTATAACACTGTCAAATAATAAATAAAAGATATTCTATTAAAAACAAAACTAGGCCTTGCACATGGTAGGCAAATGCTCTACCACTGAGCTATTTCCCCAGCCTTCTCTAGAAATGACTAAAGGTGTAGAATTAGGCCAAGACCAAGTGTTTCTTTTCTTTTTTTTTTGTCTTTTTTGAGATGGGGTCTTCCTGTAGTCCCAGCTGGCCTGGCACTTGATACTTGATGGAGGCCAAGTAGGCCTCCATCTCACAGAGATCCATCCATGCCTGGCTCAAGTGTTTATTTTCTTGACAAGAGGGAAACAGATGTAAAGGGTGTCTTACCCAGTAAGGGACCGGGACCAAGGTGTATTAAAAAAAAAATTCAAGAATAAATGCTTGTGTGTCCCAATGTAGAACATTTTATGAGGTCTCTGTGCTGGCCACTATGTTGGTCAATCAGTACAGAATGGGACACTAAGAAATCTTTATATTTTATTTATTTTTATGTGTATGATTGTTTTGCCTGTAAGTGTACCATGTGTGTACAAATGCACAGAGGTCAGATAAAAACACTGGATTGCCTGGAACTAGAGTTACAGATGACAGTCAGCTACTATGTGGGTGATGGGAACCAAACCCAGGTCCTCTGGAAGAGCAGCCAGTGCTCTTAACTGGAGCTATCTCTCCAGCCAAATCACCACCTTCTTTATAGACGACATCTCAACCATGTAGCCAACTGGTTCTTAATTGTTCCAAAAAATCAGGTCAGGAGCTAAAAATCTGAGACTTATACAGTGTTTAAATTACCAACAATATTACAAGAACTCTACAGATTAGGTCATGTAATAAAAGAAGAATGAAGATAGATAAATACATAGAATGTAGAAGGCCTAGGTTTTTTTCTCTGGCTCTGCTTAATGCGTCTTCTAAAATATTTATTTATTCATTTATTTGACAGGTTCTTGCTATATAACCCAGGTTAGTTTCTTTTCCTTCCTTCCTCCTTTCCTTCCTTTCTTCTTTCCTTCCTCCCTCCCTCCCTCTGTCCCTCTGTCCCTCCCTCCTTCCTTCCTCTTCCCTCCTTTACTTTCTTCCTTAAAAAAATTTATTTGGGGCTGAAGAGATGACTCAGCTGTTAAGAGCACTGGCTGCTTTTGCAGAAGACCTGGGTTTAGTTCCTAGCACTCACAAGGTGGCTAATAACCATCTGTGACTCTAGTTCCAGGGGATCTAACACTCTATTCTGACCTCCACAGGCATTGCATGACATGATTGCATTGCACATACACACATACAGGCAAATACTCATAACATTAAAAAAAAATTTAAAATATTTAGTTTTTTTTTGTCTTTTTTTGAGACAGGGTCTCCCTGTAGTCCCAGCTGACCTGGAACTTGCTATATAAGACCAGGCTGGTCTTGATCTCACAGAGATCTGCCTGCCTCTGCCTCCTGAGCACTGGGATTAAAGTCATGTGCCACGACACCTGGCTTAGATTTAGTTAGTTTTATGTGTATGAGTGTTTTGCCAGCATGTATATATGAACATCACATGCTTACAGTGCCCAGTAAGACCAAAAGAGGGCATTGCATGCCCTAGAATTAGAGTTATGAATGGTTGTGAGCTGTTATGTGGGTGCTGGGAACTGAGCCTGGATCCTCTGTAAGAGCAGCAAGAGCTCTAAACCACTGAACCATAATCTCCAGCTCCCCAGGCTGGTTTCTAATTCACTCTTTTGCCTCTGGCTCTGATGTGTTGAGATTACAGGTATGTACCACTCTGTCTGATAGACCAAAATTTTTCCAACTTTCACTTCTTTAGAAATATATCAGGAATGGGGCTGGAGAGATGGCTCAGCAGTTAAGAGCACTGACTGCTCTTAAAGAGGACCAGGGTTCGATTCCCAGCACCCACATGACAGCTACGAACCGTCCTTAACTCCAGTTCCAGGGGAATCTGAAGCCCTCTTCTGACCTCCGCGGCATTGCATGACATGGGTGCACTCACATACATGCAGGCAATACACTCATATGCATAAAAAAAAAAAAAAAAAGCCGGGCGTGGTAGTGCACGCCTGTAGTCCCAGCACTTGGGAGGCAGAGGCAGGCGGATCTCTGTGAGTTCAAGGCCAGCTTGGTCTATCAGAGACTATCACATTACATATATTGGTTGTATGGTCACATAATGAGATAACCACTGTGACTGACTGTAACTCCTTATGTGTGGTGAAGAGCTACATGACCATTTCATGTAGTCATCATTTTGACTCATTTTACTGATGAAGAAATTAAGACCCTGAGGTAAACGACAAAGCTAGTAACCAAATATGGAAAGTAAGCAAGTAAAATGTTACATGTCTTTTAAAATGTTAGTTGCATATATCACTGGATGCCGGAAATCTTCTTTAAGAAGAATCTTATACAACTGCTTAACCTATCTTGACTACTAGTTCAGACAGAGTACTGCTTAATCAAACCCAGGGGCTCAGGACTAAAGAGAAAGACAATGTTGTCTACCAGTATTCTTTCCTTTATTTTAATTGATTATTTTTAATGTGTGCATACATGTTTATATGTGTGTACGCTTATGGGTACATGCATTTGTGGAGGCTAGAGGTCAACACTGTCTTCCTTAACTGCTTACCATCTTATTTTTTGAGAACTGGAGCTAACTGATTTGGTTAGATTTAGCTGGCCAGCAAGCCCCAGGTATCTTCCTGTCTCTGCCTCCTAGAACTGAGATTACAGGTACACACTGCTACACCTGGCTTTTTTCCCCATGGATTCTGGAGTTCAAACTCAGATCTTATATATGTATGGCAAGCACTTTACTTACTGAGCCGTGTCTCCAGGCCTTTTTCTTTTTCCTTTTTCTCACTGTGTAGCCCAGGCTTGCCTTAGACTTAGGGTCCTCCTGCCTCAGCCTTCTAAATGCTGGATTACACGTATGTATCAGTTTGCCACACTATGGTCTGGTCAAAATAAAGGAATTTTCTCTAGGGATATAGCTCAGTGATAGAGTGTTTGCTTAGCAAGCTTAAAGCCCTGAGTGCCATTTCTAGAACCACGAAAACAAGACCACCCAAACAACTCTTACCCACAAAAGGAAGATTTTTAATCAGATGCTCTCATGTATGATTTGACTAAGCAATGAAATGAGGACAATAAAGACAAACTTTTCAGATAGGGACAACTTAATGATATATTTAAAAAGCACTCTGCATCAAGTCGGGCACATAGCAGGTACTCAGGAGCTGATACTTGACACGGCTCTGGTATTTGAAAGTGATCAAATTGAAATCCTTAGCTCTTAGTTCTACACCTTGCTATATGACTGCTTTACCTGTAAATTCAATGTCCACAAAAACCTTGATTAGGGCTTCTGAAAGTTGAGGTGCATACTGAAAGTTGCAGAACACCCGTTTTCGGTGGAACACACTAGACATCAAGGGATTTGGGGTCTGATCCAGGTGAGGCATCACTGCTTCCAGTACCTCGGCTAGTTTGGCCCTTAGGTGGGGATTCTTCATTCTGCAGAGGGTAGAAAGCAAGAGGAGCAGGTAGTCTCTCAAATATGACTGCTCTTTTCACAAAGGGAACCGGCATGTCCTCTATCATCCTTATAGGAATAAACAGGATCACTCCTGCAGTTTGTTAATACTGGGAGAATGTGGGTATACTATTTAACTCTTTTGTATGGAGACGGTCTCTGTATGTAGCGCTGGCTGCATGGAACTCTCTATGCAGACCAGGCTGGCCTTGAACTTGTAGCAATCTTCCTGCCTCTGCCGTCTGAGCATTGAGGTTACAAATGTGCTCTACCATGTCCTGTCCATTTAACTCTTGAGATGACAACTTACCAAGGAGGCGGGTGAGTACTTCAGTTTCCATGTAATGCTTAGAGATTCAATTTTCTTCTCTATAATAATGCATTACTTACTTTGTACTATTCTCTGACAGGTTAATATTGGATAAATTTGCCTGTCCAAGCTTTCTGGGGTAGATTAGGTTATAATTATCTTACAGTATCCCAAATCCCTACTATGTCTATTCAATACATGTTTATGACTTATTAGTTCTGCTCAGCTCAGTGAAGGGTTGGTTTCTGACTACTTCTTACTAATAAGCCTTGGGGAACTGTGATCATTCTCTTTATTTTGGTGCACAGAGTATTTCCTTTGGCTTATACATTAAAACAATAGTACTTCTGTTTGGGAAAGAAGGATAGAAGCTATGAGTGAGAAGATTTAAGATTAGAAATAATGTCAACCCAAGCTTATTGCTTATCCAACTCAAAACTGAAGGAGCAAGCTCTGGTTCCCACAATTCATACAAGAGCTCAGCACTTGGATGCCCTTGGGAAGGTTTCTGGTATTCTGGTTAACTACTTTAAACCAGGGACTGGTAGTAGAATTCCCATTAGGTTCCTTATGTGCAGGTGCAAACTAACTCTCTGTGGGCAAAGTCCTTTGCTTATTATGCCTCTCCACAGTGAGATGTTTGGCTACCCATAAGGATGGTCAGGTGATTCATTAATGTTAACATAACTCCTGAAGGCAACCCCTTATGATTCAGGCTTGTTTATTTCTTGGTTTAGAAGTTGTCCAAATATTTTGCAGCTGTAAACAGTGATAGGACAAGCTTTGAGCACGTCACCTTTCTATGCTTCCAGTGAAAATGGTGATGAAGTGAAGGACATGCTCCAGGGAATCTGCTGATGTCTCCAAGACGTCATCAGCAAAACGTCGGAGAAAGATGAGGAAATCACCCAGGTTATCTGCAAAAAATTCTGAAAAAGAGTTATTGGGATTAGCTAAAATCTGTCTGTTGCTCTTAAACAACATCTCAATCTCTCCCTTTCACACTAATACTTAATGAAAATTAAAAAAAAATCCAAAGACCTTCTAAGTACTAGTATGCTGATAAGTTAATAAATGTAGGACCTCTTAAATGTGTATCAAATTTTATTTTCTTTATTTATTTTTTAAAATATTTTATTTATTATTTTTATTTTCCTGTATGTGTGTAAGTGCACCCATCGTATGCAATGCCTATGGAGGTCAGAGCTGCCATGTGGGTGCTGGGATTTGAACCTGGGTCTTCTGCAAGAACAGCCAGTGTTCTTAACCGCTGAGTCATCTCCCCAGCCCCATCAAATTTTATTTTTAATCTAAGTAAATGCAAGACCCCTTCTCAAAAAACAAAAACATATCAAGGCCAGCCTAGTCTCCAGAGTGAGTTCCAGGCCAGATGTGGCTATAGCTGTCTGTCTCAAAAGACCCTGTCTCAAAAAGACCAAAAAAAAAAAAAAATCCAAAAAACAAACAAAAAACCTAAATACATACATGAGCAGTAGTGACACAAATATTCTAACACTAGTATACTACCCCCACTTAAAATAATTTAAGTCATCCTTTAGATGTTACTAAACAAGGCTCTTAACATTGGTAACTGTGGAAACCAGCTCCAGGATAGTCCACCAATCACACTCACCTCTTGGTATTTGTGCCTTTGTGAATCCCTTTCTACATTTTGTAGGCTGGAAGATATCCCCGGATGTATGCAGCAAAAGTTATGGTATGCCATTTTCCAGATTAGGTTATGCAAGCCTGAAGCTTTCATTTTGGTCACTTGTGCTGCTATCCCATGAGTGGTACTGAGAGATGTGTGAGGCTTGGAAAAGAGGCAGCTTGCCAATAGAGCAAGCAACTGAAATGGCCTGTCAACCACCACATGACTGGGCTTGTAAGTGGATCCTCCAGCCCTAGTTGAGTCCTCAGATTCCTATAGTCCTGATTTGTCGACATTTTCGCCACAACATTAGGTATCTTGAGTTAGACCAATATAGCTAAGAACACCTGGATTTTTTTGATCCACAAAATTGTGTGAAATAATGTTTGTCATTTTAAGCTGCTATGTTTTGGGGGTAATCTGTTAGCAATATGAGACCAGTACAGCGAGTATTCAAGAACATTTAATCTGATTGGTGGACAGTATCTACTGACCCCTCACTGACATACAAATATACAAATCTCTCTTCTGAGTCAACTGACAAGAGATGATTTGTTCTTTTCTAAAAAAGCTCAAAGAGAGACAGATTTAAAAAAAAATTATTATTTTTATTTTATGTGTGTGTATTTCCTGTATGTAGGTAAGTACACTCATGCAATGCCTGCGGAGGTCAGAAGAGGCTGTTGGATCCCCTGGGACTGGCGTTACATGGACAGTTGTTAGCTGCCATGTGGGTGCTGGGATTTGAACCTGGGTCTTCTGAACAAACAATGAGTGTTATCACTGAGCCATCTCTCCAGCCCCATAGTTAGACAGATTTTTAAGCTGAGTGATAAAACAGTATTAATGACAGAAATTAACAGCTATGAAAACTGACTGCAGTTCATCTTTTGAAGATGGTTTTCTGATATGCAAAGCAGGAGGGACACAAAATTGGAAAAGCAACCGTGAGGATCCTCATGCTTCGACCATAAGGTATTAATTGCAAATTTGAGTTGTCTTTCTATAAACAATGGAATGGTAACTAAGGAGTATTTTGAGGATTAAGCTTCCAAGGTGACCCAGTTAAACTTAGGTGGTTATAAATAGGAAGTTCCCAAGGGAGAGGCTGCTTACCTGGCACATAAGCCAAAGAGCTATAGCCATCTGGCAAAGGAAAAGTTAGCTCTATTGGCTGTGAGCCCTCATTGCCTATGGCCAGCTGAACCAGCAGAACAGCCATGGACACCTGCAAATTCAGGCAGTTTTGCAGCATCTGTGGCTCAGTCATGGCAGTCTTGGTAGAAAGATAGATGGTCATCAGTCGTTCAAACTGCTCACGGAGATTGTCGGCAGCAGGGCTAGAACTCTGCTGAGCATCCCGCCATGCAATTTGCAGCCGATGCAGATTTTGGTTGATTTTTATCATCTGATCATGCAATCTGCCCACAAGAAAGCAGAAGAGACTGGGTCAGGGAAGCTGGTCATGAGAGCAGTCTAGGATAGATCATTCCAGAAAAGCAAATCTTCATTTATTTATCTAGTGTTCTAAGGATGTAAAGAATTGCAGGTACAAAGATATAGAAAGCACTCACAAAAGTTACTGACAGCACAGCATTGGGAAAACGTTACCAAGTATTCAACAAATCTGAAGCCAATCAGGAATAGGTAGCAGCCTCCAGGTGAAATGAAGCAGGTAAAAAGAGGCTCCAGATTATAATGGCATCTAAACTAGTTGCCACTCAGGAGCTTCCAACCTTCTGTTGTTTAATTAAAATAATTTTTCTTCACAAAAGTTCAAATATTTGCCACTGAAATGAAGACCCATAGTTGAGACCTACAGATAACTGGTTCGATGTGTATGGTCAATTCCAAACTACTTCCTTTGTTCCTGTGGAATGTCAAGGGCTACACCAGGAAAGCAGAGGACAGGGACCTCTGTGTCTGCATCTAGGCTGTTAAGCAGATAAAGCTGGGCGTTGTGTCGTGGCACACACCTTTAATCCCAGCACTTGGGAGGCAGAAGCAGGCGGGTCTCTGGGAGTTTGAGGCCAACCTGGTCTACATAGTGAGTTCCAGGCCAGCTGGGGCTACGGGGAGACCCTGTCCCCGCCCCCAAAAAGCACATGTGGAACCTTTGCCTATCATCTCCTTTAAAGAAAAACTCTCTAATAAAGACACACACTTTCATTTAATGTGCATGTGTTATGTATCTACGTATGTAAGTGCACCTGTATTGTGCAGTGCTCATGGGATCCCCTGGAACTGGAGTTAGAGTTGTTAGCCCTGTAGGTGCTGGGATTCGAACCCAGGTCCTCTGCAAAGAGCAGCCAGTGCTCTTAACTGCTGAGCCATCTCTTCAGCCCTAAAGACATATTTTTATTTTTCCAATAATTTGCTGCTGGAAGAATTTTGAGAATTGCCCTGTATTAATTGAAGTATCCAGAGAAGGCATTGAAAATCAGTATTTCTGCAAGCTGGGGAGATGGCTCAGTTGGTAAAGTGTTTACACTGCAAGCATGAGGACCTGAGTTCATGTCCCTGGGGCTCAGTGGCCAACAAGTCTTTCTGAATCAGTGAGCTCTAGGTTTAGTGAGGGCCCTTCCTAAAAGAATATGGTGAAGAACGATCAAAGAGGAGAGCAAAGCCAACCTCTGGCTTCTACATGCATATCTGTGTACCCTCCCCCCACTACTACACAAACATTAAAAATCAGTATTCCCAATACTCTTTATAGATCAGAAATATGGAATTGCTGTTTTTTCAACTTATTCCTCAGCTCAATACTCAAATAAGGGGAAAAAATGTAGAGTGACATGTGGCTAGTGACAACTGGAACCCGTTTTGGAATTTCTACACACTAGTCCTCAAAGCTTCACACTTCTAGACCTCCCTTTATCTTAGGTACACAGATCTTCTGGTCCCTTGTTACTATTTTCTTAATTTTTGTTAATTTTATCTCTAATGAAGAGTGTAAAGGCTTGGTCTTTTTGCATCAAAAGTAATGAAAATTCAAGAATAAAATGTAAAATGAAAATAATTCCATTTCCCCATATAATAGGAGATATTAATTAAAAAATTTGTAAAGTGGTGCTGGAGAGATGACTTAGTGGCTTAGTGGTTAAGAGTGTTGGCTGCCCTCACAGAAGACCCAGATTTCATTCCCAGGACCCACATGGTGGCTAACACTTGTCTTTAATTCCAGTTTCAGGAGACCCGACACCCTTTTCTGGCCTCTTGGGCACTGCTCACACATGTAGGCAAAACACTAATACATATAAAAACTTTATTATTATTTTTATTTTTTAATTTTTATTTATCATTCTTATATGTATGCTTGTATTGCCTGCATGTAGGTAAGTGCACCTGTGTTGTGCAGTGTCTGTGGAGGTCAGAAGAGGCTGTCGATCCCCTGGGACTGGAGTTATAGACAGTTGTTAGCTGCCATGTGGGTGCTGGGATTCAAACCCAGCTCTTCTGCAAGAACCAGTGTTCTGAACTGCTAAGCCATCTCTCCAGCCCCATAAAAACTTTTTTTAAAAAAAGAAAGAAAAAATTATTTGTAAAGTGTGTAGAAAAAAATTAGTAGGTTCTTTCTCTGCTAGATTTTATTTTTTTGAGACAGGGTCTCACTATGCAGACCTACCTGGCCTGGAACTCCCTGGGTAGACCAGGTTGGCCTTGAACTCACAGATATCCACCTGCCTCTGCCTCTTGAAAGCTGTGATTAAAGGCGTGTGCTACCACACCCAGCCTAGATTCTGTATGAGTGCTTTGTTTGACTGTATGTAGGTGTACCATGTGCATGCAGTGCCTGCAGAGGCCAGAAGAGGGTGTCAGATCCCCTGGAATTAGAGTTATGGACAGCTGTGATTTGCTCTGTAGGTGCTGGGAACTAACTGAATGGGGTCCTCTGGAAGAGCATTAACTGCTTTTAACTACTGAGCCATCTCTCTAGCCACCTCCTCTGCTAGATTCTAACATGAATCTTTACACTTACTTTCAACCTTCTAGTTGTCAACACAACTAGACAAGTTTTTTTCCAAATAGTTCTTTTCTAATGACATCAAAGGAGTTACCTGTGAAATCCCAAGTACAAGGTATACTCTGTGAGGGCAAGGTTCTCTGTTACAAGGTTGTAGCTCTGGGGAAATACTGGTTCTTGTACAGATGGGATCAAACAAGTTTCTCTGTCCAAACCTTGAAGAAGTAAAAGGAATGGTGAACAGCTTGCCACAGACATCTGTCTTGGTCTTCAGTCTCCCTTTACTTTTGCTCAGTTTCTACACTGCTATCAATGATATCTTCTTCAAAACAAATCTCCTCAAACTACTTCCTTGTCTAAAGACTTCTGGCTTCCTTCTGTCTATAGAAATAGTTAAATCTCTTTTGCTGAGCCAAGAAAAATCACCCAAAAGTAAAATTAAGAATAATATCGTAGCCTTTTCAAGTGATAGGCAACAGACCATTTGCATTTACTCTGTTTTTCTGTATTTAAGATGTTTGCTTTTGAGTGGGTATCAGTTTCATAATTTGTAAGAGGACGTAAAAAAATAGAAGAAAATGCATCACAACTGAGAAGCAATTCATTGAGTGGTAGAACCACGACTAATTAATTTTCTTTTCATTTTTCTATATATACTGTTCAAATCTTCTGCAATCTGGCCTTATCTTTCTTCCTCTACACTTTCCACAGATTACTCTCTACTCCTCCTTGCTCTAGCCACATGGAATATCTCACTATTCCTCAATGAAGACATTCTACAGATTTTTACCTCTACAGTTGTTATTGCCTTCTACAGATACTCTTGCTCTTTTGCCTAGTAAAGCCCAACTTGTCTTTCGAGAATCATCTATGAAGACACCTGACCTCTGAGTGACTATTCACTCCTTTCTCTGTGCTCGTATAGCTTAGCCCTATGTTATAACTACCTTAACATCACTGCCTTCCCCTAGAACCTCTGAGTTCAAAAAGATGGCAGTTTTGCTTCATTCATTTTTGTAAAAGATCAAGGAATGAGCATCCAAAGCTGCCAAATCCAGAAAGAAGTCCTCACTAAAGCACATTTAAAAGATGCCAGTTGTTTTTCTAAAAGCCACGTTGAAAAATCATTTAACTAGCTCTTCATGTGTCCCATCTTTTTTGAGCAAGAGGTACTGTCTCAAAAGCTAAGGGAGTAAATGTTTTAGAAGTGACATATACACAGTTTTGAGAGGCCCAGTTCCCCCTTACCTTTCATGTGTACATTTTTAAATTTTCGTTCTTCATCATTCAACTCCTTCAGGGCACAGTAAGTGGGATTAAAGGTGAGGAGTCGAGAGGATCTGGGTTTGCAAAATGGCTGGCAGAGCTTCAGGAGAGCAGCGCCCAGATTCAGAAAGAAGGCATCCGAGGCATACATTTGGAAGAAGATTTCCGGCATCTGATTGGCCCAAATCTTGGTGCGGCCTGCATTTGCATGCAAACAGTTTCCAAGCCAGGACAAGATACAGTGTTTGGTTTCTGGAGAGAGCTGGAGTAAGTTCTTCAGCATCTGGTAGATCTTTTCATGGAACTGAGCCATGAACTGTTTAACCAGAAAACACAACCACAGAACATTCCAATTTCACAATTCTGATATTTTCTTTTTTTATTCTTAAACCTTAGAAAATAGCAATTTCTAAAATATATGCTAATATTAATCTTTCCTTTCACACTCTTTATGCCTTATTCTCTGGTTGTGATTTATTTATTCTTAATATTTTACTTATTAATTTTATTTTTGTGTATGAGGGTTTTGCCTGCTTGTATTTAAGTGTACCTGTGTCATGCAATGCTTGTGGAGGTCAGAAGGCATTGGATCCCTTGGAACTGGAGTTACAGACAGTTGTTAGCTGCCATATGGGTGCTGGGAATCTGGGTCCTCTGCAAAAGCAGCCAGTGCTTTTAACCACTGAGCCATTTCTCCAGCCCCTCTGGTTCTGA